AAAAAAAAATTAAAGGCCGCGCGCGGCCTGGAGTGGACCGGCCGGACGCATCCGGCCGCGCGCGGCCGAGCATTGGGTAGCCGGATGGTGATTGCGGCCGAGCATTGGGTAGCCGGACGCGGCCAAGCCATTTCGGGCTGCAAAGGCTGCGCGGCCAGGCCAAAATGCCGCGCAAAGGCCGGCCGGCTCTCCCCTCCGCGGCCGCGGTTGCGGGACGGCCGGCCAAAAATTTTGTTTTTTTTTTCGAAAAATCGCGAAAAATGTAAAAAAAAAAAAAAAATTACTTGTGAGTTGGAGACTCCTTGCCCGGTGCGTGAGGATTGTCCCGCCATTTTTTCAGTTTTTTTCGGATTTATTACGAATTTTTGATGTTTTTAAAGTTTTTTTTTGAAGTTTTTATGTATGTGGAAGTTGCTTTTGAATGAAGTTGTTTGTTATATTGAATGTTAAATGCTGTTTTCAGATTTTATTTTATTTTATTTTATGTTTTATTTTTATTTTTTTTTATAAAAAGGGCAAAAGTGTCAATTGGGGGTGCGGTATTTAGCAAAATAGGTGCAGTATTTAGCAACACCCTTAAATATATTAGTCAAAAACGGAATTTTATAATTTTTTTAAATAATATTTTCAAATTTAATAAGAAAATTTTAAACGAAAATTTAGTTGCTATTTTAAATAGATCTTTCAATTTTTTATATATCAATAGATATAGTTCTAATTATTGGGATGTATTTTCTTATGAGGTTAATTATTGTTATTGGTGGTTGTGACTAGGACTGCAAACGAACCGAGCCGAGTCGAGCATTGGCTTTATCGAGCAGGATTGACTTTTTTTTTTTTTTGCTACTCGAGCTCGAGCTCCACTCGAGAAAAAATTACAATAACTCGAGCTCGGCTCGAGCTCGACTCGAAATCAAAATGCTCGAGCTCAACTCGAGTTCGGCTCGAAATTTTTTAAGTGGAAAGGTAAAATTACCATTGAGGACCTATTTTAATATATATATATAAGGGGTATTTTAGTAATTTATATCTATCTCGAGCCGCTCGACAAGACAAAATATGGGCTCGAGTTCGACTCGAGTTCGGAAACTCGAACTCGAGTCGAGCTTTGACTCGAGCGCTCGCGAGTCGCTCGATTCGTTTGCAGCCTTGTGACAAAAATAACGATAGCTTAATAAGATGTCATAACTAGAGGGATCAAATTGTAAAATCTTACTCTATGGTTCGCTGCTGCGTCAGCAGTCGATTGTTCTTTGCGATTGGAGATAATAAAACCATCATAAATTTCTTTGCAACTGAAAAGAAGATTGCTGGTAATTACATACGAGAAATTGTTTCAAAAATTAAGTAAGTTCTGCTGTCGGTTTGCTGAACATTTTCCCTCAATTCTTCTATCTCCATCCCCGTTGATTGTTTTTCTTTTGTTGGTTTTCTGGATCCGGGATGGGAATGTCAATTTCCCACAGATTTACGACTTGTTCTATAAATAATAGAATTTCATTGCTGGTTATGCTGATTGTGCTAGGGATTATTTATTTATTGGATTTTGCAGCGTGTTTGATTGAGTAATGCTGTGATCTGGAGTTTGAAGAAGTGTAGGAATGGCGGGTGCAGGAGGTGTTAATATGGAGAAATTTGAGGAGTATTTCCAGAGGGCGGATATGGATCGGGACGGAAAGATCAGTGGAGTTGAAGCTGTGGCTTTCTTGCAGGGATCCAATTTGTCGAGACAAGTTCTTGCCCAGGTTAATTCCATTTCCATCTGTCAGTTTACTTTAATTCCATTTGTGGATGTAATTGTAGTTTCACCTTCTGTGTTTTTGTGATCCACGGTCTTAGTTGAAGCTGAGTTTTGTGGCTGCAACTTTGAGCTGTCTAGATGTAGAGATGTTATGTTGTTTTACAAATGAAGCGTAACTATTCAGTACTATTATTTTACTGAAACTTAAATATTCAGTACTATGTAAATGTGTGAGTTGGGGATTTTACTAATTGTTTATATTAATCAATTGTTTGAAGTGATTGGCATGTTAGCATTAGGTTTAAGCTGTCTGGTGGGGTTATGCTGTGAACTCTTAAGTTGGAATTTTGTATTGTAGAACAGAAGAACCACTTATACAATTAGTCTTTTGGAAATTGCTATTCATTAATCTATTATGATTCACCTATTTTTCAGACAATGATGTTGCACTGATGATCACCCTCTTTCTCAATATCTGTTTTGATCTCTGTAACTAGTCTTCATGAAAGCTTTGATAATCATTTTTCCTTGTTTGGAGACAGATTTTCCTTAGGGATGGAATGAACCCACTTAGTATGACTATTATCTTAGCAGTTTTGTTGTAGCTATACTATAAGCCATTTTCCGGGCAACCAGGAAAAGGAAATCCTGTTGTACTTTAGTTTCCTTTCTTCCAATGGATGAAGCCTTGCATTTATTCTTTTTCATTTTTCTGTTTTTTTCATTTATTTTCCGTCTAGGTGTGTTATTAGCTTAACTGGAACGGACATCCTGATCTTTTTGATGAAACAATTTGTATATGTTATCGTTTGTTTGGGTTTGTTGCAGATATGGGCGCATGCTGACCAGAATCACACTGGATTCCTCAGTCGCTCTGAGTTTTATAATGCTCTTAGGCTTGTTACAGTGGCTCAAAGCAAGCGAGAATTGACATCAGATATTGTCAAAGCAGCACTATACGGCCCTGCTTCTGCTAAAATCCCACCTCCACAAATAAACATGGCCACCACACTTGTGCCACAGCCAAATCCAGTGGCTGCTTCGCCTTTACCACAGATGGGTGCGACAATACAATCATCTCCTCAAAATTCTGGGTTCAGAGGGTTAGCTCCTCCAACTCCTAGTGCAAACCCGCAGTTTGGGGCCTTGCAACCAAATACCGGCATGACCCAACAGTTGAGACCCATGCATTACTCTGCAGGCACGAATCAGCTGCGTGGACCCCCACCTTCAAGCTCGGGCGTGAATCAGCAGTACCCACAATTACAACCTACAGTTACTATCAATCAGCATTCCCCACAATTTCAACCTGCAAGTACAATGAACCAGCAGTTTGGTCAGGTCCAACCTACGAGTACAAGTATGAACCGGCCGTTTGGACAGTCACAACCTCTGAACACAGGAACGAACCAGCAGCTTGGACAGGTGTCTCCAAGTGCAAATATAAACCAGAACTTTTTCCCCACTCAAGGTAACCAGATAAGACCACCCCTGTCAATGTCTATAACTGCTTCACATCCACCTCAGGCAGCGAGCAGTCCAAATGTTTCTGGAGTCATGGCTGGTCCCGGTCTTTCAAACTCAAATAGAGATTCGCTTGGTGGAAGTAGTGGCCCTGCTTCCTCTGGACCAACAACACAAAACAACTTAATTAGAGGGCTCAGTCCCTCGATTTCAACTGTTGCTCCAAGTCCCGTAGATCTATTTTCAACAGTTTCTGCCACCACGGCTAAGGATCTTAAAGGATCGGTTGCTTCAGGAAATGTGTCTACTCCAGATTTGTTTTCTGGCAACCAGTCCTCATCTTGGAAAGTTTCTTCTGCTCCACAACAACCTGGGATTAATCCACCTTCTTCTACAGCCGTTGTTCCTGTCACTTCAAGTTCCCAGCTGCCTGCTAAGCCTGATCCATTTGAAGCTTTGAGAAGTACTCTTATAAAACCATCTACTGCAACCCAAACTGCACAGACACAGTCTCTCCCGAAATCTAATCAGCAGGCTTCAACTCAAGTGACTTCCTCAGTCTTGTCTCCTGGGGTCCAAGCTGGGTTAGGGAATTCCACCACTGAGCAGCCTCAAGCTCCATGGCCAAAAATGACACGTGCTGGCATTCAAAAATATGCAAAAGTTTTTATGGAAGTAGACACTGATAGAGATGGGAAAATCACTGGTGATCAAGCCCGCAACCTATTTTTAAGTTGGAGGCTTCCAAGAGGTAAAAGAAAAGGCTATGCTAATTACTAAATCTGTCCATGTGCGCTTTCTTTTCTTTTCCATGTGCTTGGAGGCTAAACTTTCATATTTTTGGGGCGCTGGAATTCGATTAGGATATATGTAGAATCTCTTATGATAATAATTATTTTTGTACTATCTGCAACCAAAATTTCTCAAATTGTTTGAATGTACTCCTACTTGGGTTTTCTTGGTTGTTGATGTTCATTTGCAAGTCTGATTCTACTCAGAATCAGAACAGTAGTTCTCATTGTATGGACTCTGCTTTTTAATGTATGTCAACCAAAAGTACCAACAAAGCTCTTTCATGGTCATCACTTCTTTTTTATGCCCTCCCTGTAAGTTCATGTGTGTGCCTGCCTATAGTTCCAATTACTGCATACATTCTTCATTTAATGAAGCACCTCTATGGCATTATTTATGCTAGCTATTTATACTTGATGATTATTTAGTTTTATGTGTGCGAACTGCTTGAAAAGTTGTCCCATTGGAAGTCATTATCAACTTGTTATGACGAGTACAAATTCAGATGGTATTTATGAGAACTTCCTTTGTCTGCTCATTATAGAACTTCGAAGTATTTAGATTTGGCTGTCCATAAAAAAAGGCGAAAAGCATTGGATGAACAGACGATATCTGGACTAGTATTACTTATGTTTCCTGTGCATTAGTATCTATCGGATTCTTGGATAACATCATGCTTATTGTTATTTTCTGCGACCATCTCAGAGGTCTTAAAGCAGGTTTGGGATTTATCTGATCAAGATAGTGATAGCATGCTTTCTCTGAGGGAGTTTTGCGTTGCTCTCTATTTAATGGAGCAGTACAGAGAAGGACGCCAACTTCCATCTGCCCTTCCCAATAGCGTCATGCTCGATGAAACTTTATTGTCTTTGGCAGGACCACCTACAGCTTATGGAAGTGCAGGGTGGGGCTCGGCCACTGGTAATAAAATCCTTGGGTCTTAAGCTGTTCAAATTTTGTTCGCTGTAAATGGTATTGCTGTAAATGGTTTCACTTTATCTTTCACCTTTAGGTATAAGACCGCAACAAGGCTTCCATGGTTCCCAACCCGTAACGCCAGCTGGTTTAAGGCCTCCAATGCAGCCTATAACTTCTCAATATGATGGATCCATTCAATTGAATCAGAAAAGCGCTGGGGGTCCTACAGTAGATAATTCCCATGCTAATCAGCTCAGTAATGGGGATGCAAAATCTTTGGATGCTCAGGAGCTGGGGGATGCTGAAACAAATGAATTGGTATTGCCTGCCATTAAATCTTTACTTTTCTGTTTCACTGTAAGGTCCTCAGACTGTTTCCGTGGTGAGCTCCTTGTGAACCAAATGGGTTTCAGATTGCTTTGTTACTTGCCTAAATTTTATCATATAAAATTTTATCACATAATTACTTGTAAGTATGGAGCTGTAGCATGCTTGCATACTTGTTCTCCTGAATCTTGATTCTTATTTCTCAAGAAATTTTCCATGTAAATGGTTTTCTTCAGTAATTCTTTTATGTAAAAACTTGCAAAAACCTAAATAGGTTAATATGAAAGTAATACCTTGAGTAAGGATGTTAAGGGGCATGTTATGCTATCCATTTTGATCACTCTTACATGAAGATATATTCTGAAATTGAATATGGAAAGAATTCTGGTTTTGTCTTGCTGGATAATTTTTTTTAAACAATTTTTTAACTCAAAATCCACTATTCATAATCCAACCTTTTTCTCCTCAATATTATCACTATAACTAAATAATAAAAACTATTCACCCTCTCACATACTTATAACAACCAATCATTTACAATCATTATTTTACTACTTTTATTGTTAATCATTACATTTTATCTCATATCCATTCACAAACTCAAAATTAATCCATTCTTCCACCCAATCATTTTTTTCCAATGTCTAACTCACTTTATCCAATCAATCATATGTTTGTCTGATAGCTTGACCTTATTGCATGTGATGTAGTACTGCTCTTGTTCCGGGTGGGCTTCTGCTAGCATTACATTTTACTCCTTATTTTGCATTTCTTTGAAGTGGCATCACTCGTAAGGCTTGGCACTCTTCTTTTGATCAATGCTAGGTTGATAACAAGGAGAAGTTGATTTTGGATTCCAGAGAAAAGCTTGAATTTTATCGAACAAAAATGCAGGACCTTGTGAGTTACTCTAGTCTTGTTTCCTACTTCCCTTATCTTCCATTATTATGTGTAATGAATAGTCTACAGTGATAATTAGTTTATTCAAGATTTATTTCCTTTACCTCCGTACCTCACTCCATTTGCTTTACATACCATTAAGGTTGATATAAGAGGGTGTTAAGCGAGCTTAAGCTCTTAACATTTCATAAATTGTTTAAAAGTTTGTAGGCTCATGAAATTTGTTCCTTATTTTTTTTGTGGGAAAAAACGTTTTAAGATGTAAAAGTAAGCTTTTTAAGAGCTTATAAGCTCCTAAAAAACCCACACTCCATCTTATTTTGTAGCATAAATTCTTTTCTGTTTATCATTTGAAACATTTTTAACAAGAAAACATTTTTTTTTATAATCAAGCACTCCAGGGACTTATTTTTAGGGTAAGATGACTGTTTATGAGCTCTAAAAATGTCTTATAAGATATTGAACCTTTAGGGGGTGATTGGATATGGTTTCAACTAGTTTTGAATTGGTTTTTTTAACCATAGTTAATTTTGAAAAAAGGTGGTATGATTAGTTGTTAGTGGATATTTAAGTTTAAATTAAAATATTATTTAAAATAAAATAATTAAAGTTGATTTGATGAAAAAGAAGGAGAAAAATGATTGGAAGTGATGGTTTGTTAAAATTATGTGAGTGGATGAATAGTGAATTAAGGTTGATGTGATGTGTAAGAATGATTGGTTGATATTATTTAATTATATTGATAATATAGGAGATAGTGGGGTTGGGTTAAAGTTGAGTTAAATTTGAATTTTATTGATTTTTTTTTTGGTTGGGTTGATAAACAATCACCCCCTTAGGGTTTTTTATGATTGATTGTGCATATTTCTTCTTTCAAGTTTTTGTGCCCCTACTAAAAATTTCCGTTCAGGTCTTGTATAAAAGTAGATGTGATAATCGACTCAATGAAATTACTGAAAGGGCTAGAGCTGACAAAAATGAGGTATGCTTTAAAGGTTAGACATATGCTTTTGCATTCAGCTGCATTTTGCTGATGGAGTTGTGATGCTTTAATTATTTGCTTAAGGAAACTGCCATTTGATTTCTAGGCCGAGTTACTGGAAAAGAAATACCAGGAGAAATATAAGCAAGTTGCTGAAATTCATTCTAAGTTAACTATTGAAGAAGCTGCCTTTCGTGAAATCCAGGTAACTTCATATACACTTCACTGCCTATTAACTTCTTTTGTTGGTCAATTTAACTAATAATACTCAATTTACTGAGGTGAGTTTGCAGTAAATTAGGAGTTTTGTGGAATTTGCTTATAAATTAATACCTGGCCAAAGCTCTTTGAAGTTAACTGTGTTTTACCAAAAAACATCGACTAGCTTGAGAAATCACAGGAAACATGTATTCGTCCTCCATCCCAACCACTGCCTGCCATTGGATACCTCTGAACCTGCCTTCATTCGGCGCCTTATTTTTGAGTTCCTATTGGACCCATCCACCTTCAAACCACCATTTGTAACATTTCCAGATGAAATGCTGTATTATTCTGAGCCAAACAGCCATCTTTTGCCTACTTATCTTTTCCTGTCTAATATTTATGCCCCCAAGGCCACAGTTCCACTCCCATATTCCAGTGAAATATCTGTCCCTCTAGAGTTTACCAAATGGCTAATCATCACATTGAGCGTCATAGAATCAAGAGCTGCGAACAACAACTCCGTCAGTTTACTTGAGAGTCGATGGTGCTAGATCCAGCAGAGTACAATTACCCAATCGGAGTTGTTTTAATTACTTCTAGCTTGGAGACGTTTGGTGTTTCTTTTGCAAATTTATGACAAATTTTTCTTATTTCTTGATCTGCAAAGGTATTTTTTGACCATGGAATGTATTATTAACCTGTAGTCGGAGGGTGCATTCCAGTATTCTATAGAGGAGAGAGCGTGACAATTTTGCTCTTGCAGCCATTTTTGAATTCTGAAATGAAACATATTTTACTGTGTGTTGATTTGTTTGCATATCTCATTATGTTCCTAACAACTTCCTCCTATCGCATAAATCTACTGCTCCACTCCTATCACATTTTTCATGATTCAGAATGCAAGATATGTTGTGTTTGTAGGCTAGGAAGTCGGAGTTGCAACAAGCCATTATTAAAATGGAACAAGGTGGAAGTGCTGATGGTATTCTTCAGGTCAGTACTGCTATAGTGTACTGATGTTTTACAAGCCTGTATCCACTAGAAATTCTGCAGTTTCAACGTGTCTCCGGTCTGTATAGGTCCGTGCTGATCGTATACAATCAGATCTAGAGGAACTAATGAAGGCATTGGCTGATCGTGGCAAAAAACATTCTGTAGAGATCAAGTCATCAGCATTAATTGAGCTTCCCCAAGGTAATCATGTAAAATTTTTGGCAGTAACACCTGTAGTTTTACATTGCCAGCAGTTAATTTGTTTGTGTACTCCTTTTCTATTTTTAAGTTTTCATTAAATTGCTTTGCTGCACCTTTTTTTCTATTTTTCTCTCTGGAGTTAGGAATATATTACACACACCACATTTTCCTTCTGTCTTTAAAATTCTATATTTAATTTTGCAATGATTGACCATGTTACTTACTATGGTGATAAGTGGTCGATTTATTGAATTCTGCATTCTAGGTCACTCCAGAGGGGACAAACGAAAGAAACAAGAAAAAAAAAAATATATTGTATAAAGGACTCCAGATGTGTCATTTTCTAGTTTTTGGGTCTAGTTGCGAATAAACTAATTTGAAATAGGTGTATTGGTAGTCCATTTTCCATTGAATTGAACTGTATGCTTGGATGCTCCTCAATCAGAAATATGTAACATACTCTATGTATTTCTTAAGGTTGGCAACCTGGAGTTCCAGAGGTAGCCGCAATATGGGATGAAGACTGGGACAAGTTTGAGGATGAAGGTCTGTTATATCTTATTGGCCTTTACATTTACCGTCCTTGAATCCTCATTATTGCGGTCTTTAAGTAGATTGATAAGTTTCACTTGCTACAAACATGTAATGATCAGAGTAACCCTGATCCTTTCATTTACTTATCCCTCCCCTTTCCAGAAAAGATATGTAATGATGTCAAACATTTTACATTTTACAGGGTTTTCTTTTGATGTTACTGTCCCTGAAAATGCGAAGTCACCATTGAAGCAGGGAGAAAATTCATCTCCAACTCACAGCTTTTCCCCGGGCTCGGTGTCAAATGCTGCCACCTCATCAGAAAAACCCTTTTCAAGTGCCTTTGATGCAGAATCATTGTATAGCGCAGATGAATCTAAGAGCCCGCATGGAAGTCCTGGGAGGCTAACAACAAAGGAAAGTCCATCTCAAGAATACTCACAGAACCATTTCAGGAAAAGCTCTGGTGATGATGCTGAAAATCATAGGTTTGAGTGTTTTGGTTCTATATGCATTGGAAATTTTGTAGTGAAATTTGGAATGCTGTCAGCTTTTCTAATTTTCTCTTGTTCAGCAGAAGCTTTGATGAGCCTAGTTGGGGCAATTTTGACAACAATGATGATGATATTGACTCAGTCTGGGGTTTCAATACTAAGGTGATTAATTCTTTTTATGCTTGCTCTTATATGTTATGATATATCAAAATTGCCATGTCCTGTCAAATTACTGCACGAGCTATGAAAATCTGCACCTGATCATCACTAAATCGTCAGAGGGAACTTTATTTGTGTGAGGATAAATGTTTGGGAATTTATAGTGTTAGCAGTCACAACTGCTATTACATCTTCAACAACAACAACAACATACCCAGTATATTCCCAACAGGTTGGGGTCTGGGGGGTCAGTTGTACGCAGACCTTACCCTTGTAATTATACAAGGAGGCTGTTTCCGTAGCGACCCAAGGTGCATTGCGCCGTTTGATATTTTTTTTTTCTAGAAGCTTCACTAATAGAAGAAGCACTAGAATTAATTGAGTCATTTTGATCTAGTCCATTATTAGCACTATGCCAGGAGAATTGTCAACTGCTATTACATCTTTGTTTCTCTTAAACTTACCCACAAGATTACATGCAGAGAAGAAAATAGGCAATTGCAAATGAGCGTTGGAGAGAAATTGGGGACAAAGTGTATTTTCTGAAAATTTGACATTTCATTAAAATTAGGGACAAAGTGTATTTTCTGAAAATTTGACATTTCATTAATTTTCACTGAATTACTTGAATGAAACAAGTAAAAATACCATCCCAGACCAGGGGTATTCCTTGATAACGATAAAAGTTTGTCAATGTTTTAAATTTACCGGTAACTCGTTGACATTTATTTCTACATCACCAGTTGCACCTTCTAACCCCCCAACAACAAATGTTTTTCCTTTTGAAAGATTTTTTTTTTTTTTTTGGCTATTATCTCTAATTTCTGGTAAGTTCCTTCCATCATTTTACTATTTACCCTCAGGACCCTAATTCTGGGAAGCACGATGAGAAATACTTCTTTGGGTCTAATGACTTTGGAGCCAGCCCAGATAGAAATAGCTCACCTCACTCTGACGGTGGATTCCAGAAAAACAACCTGTTTAGCTTTGAAGATTCTGTTGCTGGGAGCCCTCGTTCACGAGCTGGCAATTCTCCAAGATACAGTGTTGAGTCGAGAGATCCATTTTTCGACAGCTTTTCTAGATATGATTCATTTAGCACGCATGATCGTGTTTCTTCCCCTCGTCAGGAAAACTTTAGTAGGTTTGACTCCATGAGCAGCACACAGGGCTTTGACCACAGGAGCAACTATTCTTTTGATGACAATGACCCGTTTGGTTCAAGTGGCCCTTTTAAGGTCTCATCTGAAACATCACCGAGGGAAAAGTTTTGAGAAGATATATGCTTCTTGGCCGGTAGCAGATATAAATATGTTTGTCTGTGTGCTGTTTGAAAATTTTTTGTCGATTGTGGGAAGTCGGTTTAGTGAAGCTTGATCATTATGAGATGAATGCTGTTTTGTGGTGGACTCCAGAACAGAAGGGTCAAAGGAAGATGAGCCAGATCTATATTGGAGAGCGATCCGCCGTAAATTTACCACTGAAGAATCTGGAGGAAGTAACTACATTTTATGGGGCTTTAGAGAATTTGGTATAGTTATTTCGTATTTTTTTTTCTTGAGTTGTTTTCTTATTATATTATTCAATTTTTTTTTCACTTCTTCATATTTTTGTTTTTTCTGGGTTGTGTGGGGTTGGATGGTGTGTGAAATGTTGCTGAAATTATACCCCAGTGAGCGGGCTGTCATTGACGGCGAACGCGAAACATGTATTTATTTGCTTTCAATATTTGATGATATTTGTATTGCGTGTCATTGATGGACAATGTCCCTTACATGGTTGTATTCCGAGTAGCTGAGTATCGTTTGGAATTTTGGAAGTTATGTAGATGGCAATGTTGGTATCACGCTGATTGAGTTAAGACTATATCTATCTATATATAATCTATCTATATATAATCTATATGTAACTCTCTTATCTCTTATATAAGACGGGTTGTTTCTTTAAAAAAATTAAATTGTCAAAAATATATAATCTATCTATATATAATCTATATGTAACTCTCTTATCTCTTATATAAGACGGGTTGTTTCTTTAAAAAAATTAAATTGTCAAAAATGCCCTTCATTATCATTAATTTTCAAGGTCATTATGGAATTTTATCACTACGATAGGGAATTACAATCATTAACTTTTATTTTTTAATAATATTTTGTACAGCTTCAATTAATTTAAATTAAAAAATAGTAGTATCAAGTATTATATGTTTGAAAAAGATAGAAGCCAAAGTATAACCATCCTATATAACTAATATAATTTTTTAATTTAAAATATTTATTTATTTAGTAAAATATATAATCCAACATTAGAAATAGTTTTTATAATTTTTGAATTATTATAGAATATTGCAATCATACTGTTCATTTTATCTCATATTATTAAGGTAATTAAATAATAAATTAATAACATTATCCTTTGTGTTGAATAGGGTTACTTTTGCTTTTATTATTATTATTTTTTTCAGATAATTAATATTTTAGAATATTCGAAAAATATAATTTATGTATACCCTTTAATAATAACATAGTATAAATATTTTTCAATACTAATATGTATTGGATTTATATATATCAATGGTTAAGGTCGATGATGAGTTATTCGGATCTTCCTAAATCGTTCTGGGGAATGACGTTCGGTACGGCCTCGTACATTCTGAACCTTGTACCATCGAAGTCAGTCGTCACTATTGGGAATGAATTGTGGTATGGACGCAAGCCCAGTCTATTACACATTCGGGTTTGGGATAGTCCAGCACATGTGCTACGACAAGACACTGACAAGTAGGATAAGCGTACAGAGGTACGGCTGTTCGCAGGCTATACCAAAGGGGCCGGGGCCGGAGGAGGTTTGTTCTATAGTCCTAAGGATCAGAAGGTGATCGTTAGTACGAACACTAGATTCTTTGAAGAGGACTATATTATGAACCATAAGCCTGGAAGTAAACTTGTCTTAGAAGATTGAGGGGTGAAGTCGCTAGTCCCCTACCGAGTGGGAAAGTAGATACACCACATACTACTGCGACACACAACACTGAACATGTATCTGTGCAGGTAGTGCCTCGTCGCAGTGGGATGGTTGTCAGACAACCCAACCGATTTATGTTCCTCGAAGAGTCTTCAGACTTAGTCGCGAGTGAACTGGAATAGGACCCTTAGACGTTTGATGAGGCACTCCAGGTTAAGGATGCAGATTCATGGCAAAAAGCGATGAAAGTTGAGATGGAATCAATGGATTCCAATCAGGTCTCGAACCTTGTAGAACCACCGGATGGGGTACGACCTATTAGATGCAAGTGGGTCTACAAGAGAAAGAGATGATCGGATGGGAAGTTGGAAACCTTCAAAGCTAGGCTTGGTGCGAAAGAGTATGCTCAGAAAGAGGGAATCGATTATGAAGAAACCTTCTCGCCAGTAGCTATGCTCAAATCCATTAGGGTTCTCTTAGCTGTTGCCGCTCATATGGATTATGAGATCTGGTAGATGGATATCAAGATGACTTTCCTTAACGGAAATTTTCAGGAGGACATCTATATGCAACAACTAGAAGGTTTCATAAAGGACCGAGAGCATCTACTGTGTAAGCTAAATAAGTCCATTTATGGTCTGAAGCAGGATTTTAGGTCTTGGAACAACTAATTTGACGAGGTGATCCAGCCGTACGGGTTCACTCAATGTCCAGATGAGCACTATGTGTACAAGAAGTATAGTGGGAGCGCGATGGTGTTTCTCGTGTTGTACGTAGATGATATACTGTTAATCGGAAACGATAGGAGAGAATTGTCAGAAGTAAAGGTATAGTTTTCCAAGCAGTTTGATATGAAGGATTTAGGTGAGGCAGGACACATTCTTGGTATTAGGGTCATTCGAGATCGTAAGAAGATAATGTTGTACCTATCCCATTCTTCATACATAGACACTGTCTTTGCCAAGTTCAACATCCAGGACTCCAAGATAGGGTTCTTACCTCTTCGACATGGAGTACCTCTGTCGAAGGAAATGTCTCCAAAGACACCCCAAGAGATTGAGTACATGAAGACAGATCTCGTTGGCAGTGGGAAGCCTTGTGTATGCAATGTTGTGCACAGTGCCGAATATTAGCTACATCATGGGCATGGTAGCTAGATATCAAGGTAATTTAGGACCGGGACATTGGTCTATGGTGAAGCATATACTCAAGTAACTGAGAGAGACTAAGGAGTACATGTTGGTTTATCATGCAGACAACCTGTTACCGCTGGGTTACACCGATTCTGATTTTCAGTCAGACCGGAACGAAAGTAAGTCTACCTCAGATTATGTGTTTACACCGGGAGGTGTAACCATTTCATGGGAACTTCCAAACAGAAATGTATGGCAGACTCTACCATAGAAGTTGAGTATGTCGCAGCTTTAGAATCAACGAAAGAGGCAGTATGGCTCTGAAACTTTTTGTTGGACTTAGAGGTGATTCCGAGTTTACCACAGTCTCTCACAGTATATTGTTATAACAGTGGTGCAGTAGAAAACTCAAAAGAACCACGAGCCCACAAGGCCAGTAAATACATAGAGCACAAATACTACATAATACAAGAAATCGTAAGGACATAAGACGTCGAGGTTGCCAAGATTGCATCAGGGGAAAACTAGCTGATCGTTTCACGAAGAGTCTGCCAGGGTCTTCTCCAGACATGTGAAAGGAATGGGAGTCAGATGTCTGGTGCTAGGACTGACATAGGTCTATTAGAATAAAAATGGAAAAGATGTATACTAGAAAAGCAGAAGCTTTAAGTATCAGCGAGAGATTGTTAGTGTATATACTGAAAGATTAGCTTTAAATGTTGTTTACACTATTTATTTTGAATGAGAATTTATGTTTGATTGAACAATGTTCTGTGTGTTACATTGTTTTGCACTTAGATAAATGGTTTATCGCGGATGGACAGAAGATCGTTAATCAGTGACTTGCAAAATATAAAGAAAACGGTTCACAACCTAGATGAAAATTGAACAAGCCATCAAAACTGTTGTACCGTGAATGGTACAGTCGTTCTTGACTGATTAGTTGCACTAGTACAAACTGTGTATTGAACGGATCCCGAAGAGGAGAGATTCATTTTATACTGATCGACGTAAACAAACTAGGCCTCAGCTAATTACTGCATAATCTTAACCCATCAGATATAAACAGGCACATGAATGTAGTATTTACTATTTTGATTAATGAAGGGAGGTTCAATCTAACTGAATCAATAATTGGTTGAGTTGGGTAGTAATTGCTGCATGACATGGTCCACTGTTAAAATATTTACGATCAGCATGTACTTTTGATGGTTGAGGTTTGATGATGTCCCCGAAGTGAGACCAGAAGGATTATTGTGTTAAACCCTGCAGATGAATAAGTTCCGACATAATAATAATGTATTGAGTTGTTCTAGCTTCGGCACAAGATATCAAATCAATTGATGGACATTATATCTTAAACATGGGGCGATAATTCGAGTAATTTAAAATCCGAGCTCAAATTATAATTTGGGAATTAAATTGGGAGTTGCAATAATACTACTTTAGTTGAATGACTGTATTATTCGTATATGAGCAGAGTGAACTCGGCCCACAGTTAAGCCCATATACGAGGAGCCCAATTTAATCCCTCCTTAATGCATATTGAAGCTTATAAATACACCACCTCTTTTATGTTTGGAAGACATCCATACACTTTAGACTTAAGAGAGATCTAGGGTCTTCTTCCCACCAAGGGAGTTCTAGAGGTGTTAGGATATTTAATAGAAGTCCCCAAGGCGACCACCGTCGGCCATAGTGCATCATCGGACGTGACCCGGCGAGCCTGAGATGCACGTTGCAGTCCCACGACGCCTAGCGCCCCACGAGCCCAGCACACAGGTCCTGCTCTCGCACGATGTACGCCTGTGACCCGCGAGAACCTCGACAGTCGTGCTCATGTCCAGATGACCCGTGACAGCCTCGGACGCGCTCGACCTAGGGGTGGCCAGTCAACGGGCCCAACCCGGCCCGCCGGGCCAACGGTCCGCTTGGACCAGGCCCGGGACCGAACCTGTCGAAGGCACTGTCCGAGACCGGTTCTTAGCCCGGGTCTCGCCGGTTCAGTCCGATTCCGACAGTTCGTCGGTTTT